CCCTGTATAGTAGGGACCATGGAAGAGCCAAAACATATAAAAGTAGTGATCCAAGATTGAAGCCTTCTAATCTAGCTAATTCTTTCCTATGGCCCTCTGGCCATTTTCATGCTCACACCCACCATCTATACTCCAAACTGGGAACAGGCATTTAAAAGAGCCTGAAAAAGCTATGCCTGAGAGAGTGGGGCACTTCAAGGGGACTTGAGAAAGGAGGCAGTAGAAGAAGGATTAACTTTTTCACTAGCTCAGTCTTGTCTTTTTCAGCAATGGCCATCCAATTTGAGCCATCCTCTCACCCTACCCTCTACTATTACCCCATTGTGAGGCATCATCAGACCAATTTGGTTTTAGTTTTATTGACTTCTTTGAATCTATTTAGAAAAGAGGTTTGAGGAAAAAGAGGCCACCATCTGTTCTAGTCTCCGAGGCCCTGGTTCTTCCTCCCCTAATTTTTTAGAAGGGCTGTTGGAAGGCTAAATGTAGCCTCAGGGAGCAGATTTCTCGAGGAGTTTGGGATCAATCATCGAGGAGTTTAGGATCAGTCATTCTAGAACACCATTCAGAAGAAAACACTTTAAACCTGAGCTCATGGGGAAACAGACCCCTTGGCCACCGTGAAGGCTTACAACAATTTCTATTGGTCACATCTGAAAGAGAGATCTTGTATAATTTCTTACAGATAATGCAAGCCATCATGAGAGTGTGTGAGAGTGGGGGATGGAGGGAGGGGACAGGACAAACCCAATCCTGTAGTACTTGGGGAAAATACACATTCCCAGGTGTACTCTGAGGAAAATAGCTTTGGAGGAAGAAGAAAGGACTGCCGTGAGGCCTGGAGCAACACCTCCCCTTTCTCCCCCTTCTCTTCCATTATCCAGATGCCAGAGTGTCTCTGAACTGTTGGCTCTAACCCCCTGGAAGGAAACTAACCCATCCCTAAATGCTGCTGGATGGCAGTACAGAGCTCTAAATTTAGGAAGGAGGCAGCTATACCAGTGTGTTATAGTCTGTCTCTAACACCAGGTGGCACCAAATTATAACCATAAGTCCAAAGAAACCGGCAGAAAATGAACCTTTAGAGCCCTTGAACTATTTTCCTCTCCCTTCCTGCTTCTCACATGGAATTGAATAAGAAGCCTTTCAAATATGGTGGATAATTCTCCTTCAGTGAAAACGCTTGAATCCGTAACCTAGAGCTACTTCCAGCTGAAGATTCCTAGAATTTAAATGAGGCCTTAGCCTCTGCCCTTCCTGGAAACTTATTTCTCAGTTGCAGATAAGGAAAAGGGTGATTTCCTGGAACCTTTCCAGATGCCTCTAGCCTACAGAAGAGTTGTTTTTCTTCAAGGAGGTCAGCTGAAGAGTAACAGATGTGAGACCTGGGAAGCTTTGCTTAAATGCAGCTTCCCTTATGAAGGACTGAATTCTTTAACTTGGTGTGCTGGGGATGGCCATGTCTACAAAAATTGTGATGTGGCCGACCAGCCTCATGGCCTCTTATAGGCAAACAGGATTGCTTCCAGCACCTGAAGCACGCTCCATGAATTCCATTCCTAGGCTCCTCCACCTGGAATGCTGTCCTCTCAGCCATTTCTGTTGGATCCACGCCCCTTGTCGAGGTACAGAGCTCCATGAAGCCTTCCTTAATTTCCCTCAGTTTGAAGGGACCTTCCACTCTTCCAAATTATCACAACTTGTGCCATTTGTCCTATTTTCTAATTTATATTATAATTATTTTGTGAATATATCTCCTCTACAAAAGTGTGAGCTACCCAAGGAAAAGGACCAAACTCATTTATTTTTTTTCTTATTTATAGCTTATCTTTTTTTTCTTTTTATACTCTATATTGGTGACACTGTGGGCACTTAATAAATAATAATGATATGTTACATTTGTATGGTGCTTATAGTTTACAAAGCACATTAACATCCATTTCCCCATTTAATCCTCACAAAAACCCTGTGAGGTAGGTGTTACCATCCCGGTTTTACAGATAAGCAAACATACTCAGAGAAGTTAAACAACTTGCCCAAGGTCATACAGCTTGAAAGAAGCAGAGAAGGGTATGAATGCAAGTTTTCTGACCCTAAATTCAGTTCTTATAACTTTCTGTACCTGAGCTGTTGGCTGCAAATTCCTTCATGGAGACCCAAGCATGGGATTCATCATGGGAACTGAGGTCAAACTTCCCTCCTTCCCTCCTTGCTCCCTTCCCTCTCACTCCCTTGTTTCCAAAGAGGATTTCAGAATACAATCTTATTTTGTTTAAGAATGTCCTGGTGTGAGATGTCCTTGTAGATAAGAAGGGAAAATGTGGGGTGTAGACAGGACAGCTGGTGACTAATGGATCTTTGTCATCCTGGAGGGAGGTCCCTGGCCTGTCCAATAATTTAATTCACAACTTGGATCAGGACATTGAGGGAATGCTAATCAAATCTGTAAATGACATGAAGCTGGTTTCTGGAAGACCCCAAGAGACCATAGTGAACTGGGAAAATGAAATGTAAAGTTTCATTGTTGAGTTTGTCAAGACCAAATGTTTAAGTGCAAGGTAGGAGAGACATGACTTAGTAACAATTTGTATGAAAAGGTTTCAGGTCTTTGAGGTGCCTGTAAGCTCAATATTTTGATACCAACTGCCCGAAATGCTAATGCATTTGGTGCTAGGATGAGGGAGATTACAGTTGTGTTCTCTTCTCTGTTCATTAGACCACAGTGGAGGACTGTCTTTCGCCTTGAACACCACACATGAATGGGGGGCATTAGCAACCTGGAGCACGCACAGAAGAGTGAGACCAGAAGTGTGAGAGGACTTAAAAATCCTTGTATATGAGCTACTGGGGCTGTTTAATGTGGAGAATGGATCAACATGGTGATGCTGGTGGTTCAGATTCAGTTTTTAAATATAGGAAGGTTCATAATATTGTTTTGCTTTGTAAGAGGGAGTCATCAGGAGCAAAGGGCAGGTGGTATGGGAAAACATATTTTGACTCAAACTAAGGAAGAACTTTATAATGGTCCAAGATGACCAATTATGCAATAGTTTACTCTGAAAGGACAAGATTTTCCCATTACTGGAGGTATTTAAGCAGAGACAAGATAACTATTTGGCAAGGAGGTTGCAGAGGGAAATCAAGCATCAGATCACCAGGGAGAGAAATTAGGCAACCATCAAAGCTGCTTTTGACTGTAATTTTGGGATTCAAGGAGGGCTGGAGGTGAAAATAGTTGTAGCCCTCAGAATAGGTACCTCTTAACCAGTTATTATCTCTGCTTTTGGTTTCTCCTCCTCCAGCCTACCTGCATCTAGGCTCCAGAAATATTTTCCTAAATACCTTACCATGAGACCTTCCAGCATCATAGAATCTCAGTAACCCTAGATAGTCATCTGGTTTGGTCCTTTATCAGATGCTTTCATTGCCTTTGCATCATCCACATGGAGTGGTTGTCCAGTCACTGCTTGAATATCTCTAGTGATGGAGGGCTGCTTACCTTTATGGACAGTCCATTTTAATTTCAGAGAGTACAATTAATCATTAGAAAGGTCTTCCTAAACACAGAGAAATGCTTATATTGAGATGATGAGATTAGGAATTTTTTAAACTTTATTTTTATTGTTCACACTATTACAGATGTCCCCATGCCTCCTCCCCCTTTGCCCACTTCCATCCAGGCACTGCCCAATCTCCCTCTGGCCATCACCACACTATTGTCTGTGTTTATGAGTTATGTATATATCTTCCTTGGCTAAATATTTCACCTTCTTTTATCCAGTTCCTCCCCTTCCTCTCTGATAGTTGTCGGTCTGTTCCATGTATCCATGACTCTGTTTTTATTTTGTTTGTCAGTTTATTTTGTTCATTAGACTGGTGCAGCCACTCTGGAAAACAGTATAGAGTTTCCTAAAAATATTAAAAATGGAACTGCTGTTTGACCCAGAGATTCCACTTCGGGAATATATCCAAAGAAATCCGAAACACCAATCAGAAAGAATATATGCACCCCTATGTTCATACAGCATTATTTACAATAGCCAAGATCTGGAGATTATTAATTTTCGTCTTCTCTTTTTTGGAAAATGTTGATAATAAATCTTTAAAGGACTTCAAGAGGCTGGAACTGTGAGCTGAAACTTTTATTATCATTTTTTTTTCATTATAAAAAAGAAAGCAACTTCCTTATATCAACCCAAAATCTGTTTTCCTACAACTTCCATCCATGAGATCTTGGAGCTCTTGGAGATATACACAGAATAAATCTATAGCTTCCTCTTCACCATGAACCCAGTAATGAATTTTTGACAGAGGACAAATTTCTCCTGGGATTTTCCAGTCCCTTCACTATTCTCTTTCTCTGGATATACTTTTGTTGACTTCTCCTTTGAAGTGTGATGCCCGCAATTGAACAGAGGGCCTCAGGCATGGTCTGACCAGTGCAGAATACCACATGATGGTCACCTCCTTTATTCTGGACATTATACTCTTATTAATGCAGCTCAAGGTCACAAGACATTCTACAGGAACCAAACTATGCTTTTTTAAAAAATTTTTTTTATTGATTTCAGAGAGGAAGGGAGAGGGAGAGAGATAGAAATATCAATGATGAGAGAGAATCATTGATCGGCTGCCTTGCCTACTGGGGATCGAGCCCACAACCTGGGCATGTGCCCTGACCAGAATCGAACCCAGGACCCTTCAGTCCACAGGCCAACGCTCTATCCACTGAGCCAAACCAGCTAGGGCCAAACTATACTTTTGACTCATGGCTCATGATAAGCTTTCATTTACTTAAAAACCCTCTAAGCCACATCTCTCACATCCTACACTGATACTATTACATTTTGGGGTTTTTTTTAAATATATTTTATTGATTTTCTACAGAGAAGAAGGGAGAGGAATAGAGAGTTAGAAACATTGATGAGTGAGAAACATCGATCAGCTGCCTCCTGCACACCCTTACTGGGGATGTGCCCGCAACCAAGGTACATGCCCTTGACTGGAATCGAACCTGGGACCCTTCAGTCCGCAGGCTGATGCTCTATCCACTGAGCCAAACTGGTTAGGGCTATACTATTACATTTTGGAATTCAAATGAGTGACTTTATATTTGTTCCTGCTAACTTTCTTGTTTTTCACAGACTAATCTTTATTGGAATAAACTTCATATTTGTACATATTTGTTGAATATTTATCTTATCTGTGAGGTTCAAGACTACATCCATCTTGCTCACTATTGTCTTTCTAGTTCTGAATACAGAATTGATAATCAGTTCTGGTGAGTTCGTTGTAACCCAGAGGTCCTGGGGTTCTCCATCTTCCAGTAATGATTGCATTGCAATTGTTGAGCTCTTCTAGTTGATCCACCGGAATTGCAGTCTTGTGCCAGGCTGCCCTCCCCAGGTATTTAACATGTAAGAGGAAAGCTTACATGTTTCCCATATATGTTCTAAGGGTCTTCCTCTGGGCTCTTGCTCCTAAGTTCTCTGTGGGACATCTTTTACTGCCTTAGCCCTAAACCTTTTTACTGGATGCCTAGGAACCTGGAAATAAGAGCAGGAAAATGTATCATAGAAAGGTTATGTCCCTGTTACGTTCTATTTTGCTATAGTGAGTCCATCATACCAGCCTCTGGACATCTCTATGAATTCTGATTCTGTCATTTTGGTTTTCTCTCCCATGTATATGTAATATTCAAATTTGATCTAGAGACATTAAAACAGAACCTTTTTGTGTGTAGTCATTCAATTGGTTAAGAATCTGCACACACCTATCTTTATCCACCTCATATTCCTGCATATTGTCCCAAGAGTATCCTAAGATAATGTTTTGTTGCACTCCAGATACACTGTAGATGTAGCATTCTCCTCATCTACCCATCCAGTCACCCTTTCAAAGGAAATGAGCTGAGTGGGGGATGATTTGTTTTTCCTGAATCCATGCAGGGGCTGAGCAATCTTCACTTCCTTTTGCAAGTGCTCACCAACCATCCTTTTACTCATTTGTCCTAGACTCTTGCCCTCAATCAATATTAAATGTTTTGATCTATAGTTTATGGAATTCATCTCTTCCTATTTGTAAAACTGTGGAGCCATGTTTGCCCATCTCTAAGTTGCAGTGTGCATCTTCTTCACTTTCTATGGGATTATAACAGCTACCACTAGCTGTCCTGCAACCTGAGCTGCAAGTCCTCACAATGCTCTGGGCTGTTATTGATCCAGAGTATGAGATGAAATTACTCAGAGCAGCAAAAGGCTCTTTTGGAATAAACTGCCTTTAGGAGCCTCTCTTGGGTGCTCACTCTGTCCTTTCTACTCTAGAAATCCTTCTCCTCACAGAAGAGAAGGAGTAAAAGAGGAGCTGAGGAGGTTTTGTGTTCTCTCTATAAAACCATTAGCAAAAGGAAAAGTCAGGGCATCCCATCACTCATCCGATAACACCCAAACACTTCTGCTGTTATAAAGACTTCCGCAACCTGCCTTTCCAATCTGATGTCCAACTATTTAACTTGAACCCTTTACTTCAGTCAGGTCAGTTCCTCACTGCAACTTAAGCATGCCTAGACCTTCTGGTGTGGTTGTTCTGGCCGAGCCTTTTCTCCCAATTTGGAATGCCTACTATGTCCCCCAAAAGTCACCCTCGCCCAGCTCGTCTTGCAATTTCTCTAGCCCCTTTAACCTTAACCATACAATTGAAGTCACATGCTAAATTATGCATTTCACTCATTTTTATCATAGTTCAGTTTTGTCTTCCTGATAGTATGCACCTCAAAGCGGGTATCTTCTATCCCTCACAGTATCTAAACTAGCACAGGGCCAGGCCTATAGTCTTGACAATCATACTTGCTTTCTATGGAGATTTTTACAGTGACCAACATCTGGCTTTTAACACACACCACAAATTTAGACCTCAAGATAGCTTTGTCCAGCTCCCAAAAGGACTAATACAGAAACCAGATAAATCTAGGAATGCAGGTTGGATACATTCATTCTAGGCACTAATGATTTTTGCAATGGGAAATAAAATCCAAGTATATCCTCAGCCCCTCTCCAAACAAAGAGCTGCGTTTTTTAGCTAGGCTCAAGGCTGGCTATCAGTAATGGGGCTATGAACCCTCAAGCTACCCCAGCATAGCACTGACTACAATTTGATTGAAACCCTGCCTGTCTTGGAGGCCACTTCTGCAACCCAGACAGACCTTTCAAAGGTATGAAGATCAACTGTAATCTCTCACTGATGGGTCCCAAATAGAATTGGAGCTGGGTTTGCTATAGACCTTGAGTTCTTAGAGGATAGGCAATGTTTAAATCCTCCCCAAATAGAAAGCCTCCTAATTTGGAGGCGCGCGCACACACACACACACACACACACACACACACACACACACACACCAGAAGAGAGGAGGCCCAGTTTGGTAATATCTGAGATGGAGCAATCAAAGGATTATAACAACAAAGACTCTGAATTGACCTAAAAAGTTCATGTCATCCAGCCCTCTGATTTCAGGAAGATGAACACCAGTGTTTTCCTTAGTAGTAGTCTTTCATTCATTTTTCAACTATTTTGGAGAACTTACTGAGTGCCATGATCACCTCCTATCCATATCAAAGTTTTTCCTTGTATCTAACCATCTTTTCCCCTCTATCATTGTCAGAAGAAATGGCAGCTTTGTCCTTATTTAGGAGTTAACTTTTTAAAGATATAACACACTTGTCACTTAGTAGGTGCTCTACAATTATTTAATGTTTCCTCACCATGTTCCTCCTTTCTAAATTAAAAAACAACACACTAGTCCTTTGGCACATTGTTTTTGTTCTTCTCCAGACCCTCTCCAGCTTTTCCACATATGCTGAAAATGTGTTGACGAAGGCCAGACACATTAATGCTTTAAAAGGCATAACCAATGCTAGGCAGAGCAAAAAAAAAAAAAAAATGAGGACGGTGGGAAAGGTCATATATTTCTGGACTGCACTCCATGTCTGTTTCTAACACTGACTGTGACATTGGACTTTTCTGGGCCCATTTTACCAATTGTAAAATAAGTGTGTTGGACCAGATGACTCTGAGGCTACTTCTAATTCTAAAACTCAGAGCCTGATTACCTCCCAGCCACTTCATGCTATATTTGTGTTATTATATGCTAGTGTTCATTTTAGTTTGGGAAAGAAGAGAAAAGGGGAGAGAGTAGAAATAAATTCTACACTATGAACTCATTCAGCTGTGACCCACCCTGACACTCTGCCCCCGGTTCTTTTTTCTTTTTTAACTATACTGTGTCAAGTCAATCATTGCCCATCTCTCTTTTGGTCCTTATACTACCTTGTGTTCATCCCCTCTGAACATCATCCTGTTGTGTTGGTTCATCTCCCTCATTTTGTCAGGGTCATTTAGAAGAATTATATTCTTGGTTTCTGAGGTATCAGCAACCCTACCCAACTGTCACACTTGTTGAGCTGGTTCAGCCCTTCAAGTCATTGAGAATAATATGAAATACCATAATGCTAACCCTGTAGAACCTCATTGAATCTGTCCCCCAAGGTTGATAGGGAGTCACTGATTATAATCCTGGAGAGAAACTGCTCCCAGGGCCCCAATGAACTTCTCCAATTCCAATGACCAGAATAGGACACAAGCATCTCTGGGGAGGAGAGGGCCCTTGCTCTGTCAGTCACCCAAGGCAAGGGAGTCTACAGACCTGATGCCTCACTGGATTCAGATATGAGTAGGAATTTCAGCATGTTAGAGGTCAAACCTCCTCCCAGCCCCCTGTCCAGGATGAGGGCAGGGTGGTGGCCCTGGTGGCAGTGGCAGCACGGATGGAGGCGGCAGCAGCGTGATGGCATGCAGAGGAGAAAGAAGTGTTATTTTTGCTATTTCATTAGGAGGCCCTGAGGCACTAAGAGAAGGCTTCAGCAGCAGGAACCCATGGCCCTGGGGGTGGGGACAGCAACCTGATGAAGATTGGAGAGGCCTTCATGCGGGTCCAGCAGAGCGCAGCCCAGACATGTATCAGTTTAAAGGCACAGGAGGCGGAGAGCTGTTGTGATTCCTAGCCTGCAGAGGCACCCAGCTGGGAGGTCTGTTAGGGCAAGGCCTGTGCAAGGGAGGCAAATTGGGAGTGCTAACTGGATTTTTTATTTTTATAACAAGACACTGTGTTTAAAATTTTTACAAAGGACAAACTCCATGGGTTTCTGTTAGTGTTTTAAGAACTTTTCTTTAAAAAAAAAAAAAGCCAACGACAACAAAAAACACTGCCTTTTTGAAAGAGAAATGACAGACACAAGAGACTGTAAATAAAATGGGGTGAATTTCTGATGGCATTACCCCGAGGACAGAGGCGTGAACTCCACAGAACCTCATTTACCAAATCTACTCTGCAGTCTGCAGCCCTTCACAGGGACACAGAGATGGCTGGAGAGTTCTCCCCTATGGCCTCCAGCCCCATCCGGCCATAGCCCCTTCCTCCTTCCAACCTGTGGTCTTACTCAAATCTGTTTCTTTCTTGGGGGTCCTGTTCCTTGGTCGGATTCTGTGAACACTGGAGCCAGAAAGACCTGGGCTGGGGCCCTCCCTTCTGGAGCTTCTTCGCACTCACAGGTTGGAGAAGGATTTGTTCCATTTTTTTTTTAAATCAACAAAAACAAGACCAGAAAAAAAAGATCAAGTCTAGGGGAGAAAGAGCTACTCTGCTCTTTACAGCTCCCAAGTCTGGAGTTGGTTGGTGGTGCGGTTCCAAGAGAGGCGGAGGGCAAGCACCAAGGGGGTGTCCAGCTGGTGCTTTCAGGCCCCCAGGAGAGTCTGTGGTCAGGCTCAAGGAGCTGGCTTCGGCTGCTGTCCCATGGGTCCTCAGTTTCCCAAGGACTCATTTGCATCCCCATTTGGAGGGTTTGTTTAGGTTTACTTCCTTATTTGTGTTTTTGTACATGCGGGTGCATGTCCACGTCTATCTATGTTTGTGCAGGTGGGTCTGCTGTTGGGCGTGGGTGCGTGCGTATACATATATATCTGTATGTGTTTCTCTGTGTGTCTGTGTGTGCATGTGTGTTTGTGGATCTGGGAGGAAGGGAGCCAGGAGAAAGGCTGTGCTCTGGGCTGGAGCTATACCCGGGTAGTGGAGTGTGAGTGGGGCAGCCCAGTACTGTTGAACCCTGCGGCAAAGGTGTTATAGGGGTGCAATGTCTGCAGCCCTACCAGGGAATTGGGAATCATAGTGATGGTGTTGGGGGTCATGAGTGGGATGTCATCAGGGGAGCGCCGCAGGGTCAGAGTGTAGTCGGGCAGCGCAGTGAGGCGCAGTGTGTCGTGAGGGGGACCGGCCTCACACTCATGGTGGGTGGGGCCCAGCTGTAATGCTGCCAGCTCCTCCTCAGGAGCAGCTCCCAATTCGGGGGCCCCGGCTCCCCTCTGAGGGCTAGGCTGGCGCAGGGGCTCCTGACGTCGTTTGTCCTTACGGTAGTAGAGGGCAGCGAAGGCCAGAACATTAAGGAACAGAAGGGAGGCCCCCACAGCGATGGTGACACTTAATTCAGTGGAGTAGTCACGAGGGTTTTCCACCAAGAGTGGCCCTGCATTCTGATCCCCATTCCAGGACCCTTGGGCATTCTCATTGCTATAGGCAGGGGAGATGGCTGGCCGCTTGGTGCTCCAGGTCTTACCGTTGGGCCTTCGGGTGATGTGGGAGCTGTGGGTGGTATCCAGGGGTGGCACTTTGGTGGTTGTGGACGTATAGTGGAACATGTCATGCAGGTTGTATAGGTGGGGCACCAGGTGTTTCCAAAACGCCACCTTAGTGGCCCGGTAATGATCTCGAACCCTCGGTTTCAGCCCGATGTGAAGGTAAAGCTGGTCTCGGGGGTTGTATTTGGACCAGGCCACTTCCTCAAAGCGGTTGGCCTTGGTGTGAATAAACTTGGTGTCCTGGGGGACCGGCTTGTTGGGATCCCTGAAATATCACATGAAAATCTGGGGTCACCAATCTACCTAGATGAGGAAAGGTCCCAGTATTCTTCCTCTCACACCCACCCCTAAAAACCTCCTCCCCAGTCTAAAACTTCCCACTGTTTCCATCTTTTTCAGGGCCCCTCCCTTTGTCCATACTCCTCTTCCCCAGCCTTGAACTCCTACTGCCCACAGCATCATGGAACCATCTCATCCTTCCCTATGCCCATCCTGTAAGATCATGCTATGCCACTTTTCCTTTTCACATGCTACTGAGCATCCATCAATCTTTTCAGCTGCCCAGTTTTCCGAAGAGCCTTTAAAGGCTCTTTCTGAATGTACTTTACTCCTACTTCACACAGCCTCCGGCCATTTAACCTTGAATCCCATAGTTTAGCCAATGACTCTCACTCCTGCTCAGTACTAATGTTAACCGAGTTGTGAGCCTGAGCAAAAATTTTAAGGGAAGGAAATGGCATGAAAGACTCAAAAGGAGGAAGTACGGAGGGTTGTGTGTGAAAGGGTTACCAAGCAAGACTTGGGGAATACTTTAGGAAGGGAGATGATGGAAGAGATTTAGATAGAGCAGAGGGGAGGGCATGCTGGGGTCCCAAAGAAGAACCCCCACGTTCTCCTTACCCGGTCTTGGCAAAGTTGGTCCAGTAGGTCATGACAACAGCACTGAGCATAACGTCATTCTTGGAGAAATTGCAGGGGAAGAGGTCAGTGGGGCCCACCATAGGGACACCGAAAACATAGGGTACTTCGTCCCCATGAGCTGCATCTGACCAAGCAGGCTTCATGAGGCTCTGGCAGTGATGGTAGAAGGCGTAGAAGTAGGTAGGTGAGCCATAGCGGGCATGCAGATCAGCTGTCACCACTGAGGGTTCCACCCACTGGTGGTCAGTGAAGAGTGCCACCAGTGTTTTACGGCGGGTCTCAGGGTTGTCACGGTCTGCCCAGTCTGTGTACATAAACTTGATGGTCTCCCGCAGGGTATCCTTACCCTCAGGATATCCATATAGATTGTCCACAAAGTTGGAGACGGAATAGTCAAAGTCAGTGCCAGAGACACCATCCTCAGGGTCCACCACCCCTTCCACAAACTTGAGCCCCTCACCCTGGTTGACACCTAACATGATGTCATAATTGAGGAACTCACCCTGTTCCATGAGAATCTCAGGGTCATCAGGGATGACATCACCATCAATCACAGGGCCAAAGGCCACATGGTAGCGGGCTGGCTGGATGTCCTGTTCTACTAGCTCCTTGGCACTCTTTTGCCGAAGACAGTCCACCATATCCACTGTGTCTAGCACATTACAGCCCACCTTGTCTGCCAGCAGGCTGGTATACTTCACTGGTTGGTAGTTCACAGCCCAGCTGGATAGAGCAGAACCACTTTGGATGATGGCCCTCTGAAAAAGCCCTAGAGAAGATAGGCAACACCAGGTCAGATCTGTCTTGTCACCCACAGCCCAGGCCTCCCTTGCCTGTCTCTGAGGGACAAATCAAACATCTCCTCATTCCTTTGTTACTGAGGCTGCCCTATCGGTTGAATGGGCTGGAAAAGAGTAAAAATCCTTTGGGCTGGGATGATTGGTGAGGACCGGAGGAGGGGTTTCTGGGTCCCTTCCCTGACTGGTCCACTGCCTGCTTCTAGCTTCCTTGTCCTGGGGCAATGGTTGGTAACTTGGGGGTTAAGGACATGCCAGGAAGAATTAACCCCTTGGGCCCCAGACATCAGCTTCCTTATGCTCTTTCTCTTTATCTCTCCTTGTCTTCCCCTCTTGCTTCCTGCCCAGCTGGGCCCAGTTCTGTGCCAGCTCACCACCAGGGAGCTGGCGCTTCCACCACAAAGGGGTCTTTTTCATGAGAGATGAGAAATGCAAGCAGGAGAGAGCCTCACATTCTGGGAGTCTGGGGAAGGATTTTGAGGGCAAAGTTCTTGGGGTCTGAAAGTCTCCAGGGAATGTGCCCTCCCAGTCCATAGTGTCCACAGAGACTTTCCTTTTCTTGAAGCTACTGAGGCGTCAGATCCAGATTTTCCCCTAGTTGACGGGGAGCCAGTCCCCCAAACTAAAAAAATGAATGATTCTTTCCTAAAATAGGGGGGTATCATTCTCTCCCTGGCCCCAACACTGCCAAGGGATAATCTGGTCCTCAGGCACACAATTCCATTCCTCTAAAAGAAAGACAGTATGCATGGGCAGAAAGAGAGGGAGAGAAATACAGATGACAACTTAAGAGACAGCCTCACTTTTCAAAAGATTATTCTCCATGAGTCAATTAAGGAAAGGCAGAGAGAACAAATCTTTAAAGCAGCCAGACTTCCAGGGACACCAGCCCGCTAGGAGACAGAGTATAGCACCACTCTGAGGAAGGCCTTCTCCTCCCTGTGAAATAGTCCCAACCAGAGGAGGTACTGTTCGTTCCTCTTTTCAGACAGAGGCACCCTCACAGCCAGTCACTTCATCCATCTTTGTGGAAAAGGGACTCCTGCTCCAATTATAATCACCTAGAAACACATTCTAAGGTGGGATGCAGATCCCAGCTTAGACTTCCCTCACCGGGGTAGTTCCTAGAGGGAGAGAGGATTTCTAGGTCAGAGCCGGTGATTTTTCTCTCTCAGAGAGATAGGCCTTCTTCAAAGAGAGACTGAAAGTCTTCTTGTGAGAATATCACTAACTCATGGGATTGATTTCAATGAAAAAAAGTCTCTCACATATTTCCTTACTTCAGAGAAAGGCACCTTTACCTCTCAGAGACAGAATGTGCTATAGTCCAGAGGTGATGAGAACATTTCCTGTGAGCACAAAAGGGCCTATTCAGCCCCCTTGGAAGAGTTACTGGCAGAGGGACACACAGCAAGGAGAGAGGCTTTCCTTGGGGCTAAAAATGAGAGTTTCCTTTAGCAGGGCTGTACAGCCCACAAGGAGGTCCGAGTCCGATGATAGGTTTCTACCCTCAGAAAAAGTCTGCCCTGCAGGTTAGCAGTCCTTACCTGGGACCCATCCCCCCTCAAGGAAGATCCCTTCTTGTACAGACTTGCTCGTCAGAAAGAAAACCAGAGAATGAGTGTTTCTTACACCTAAAAACTAATTTCCACCCTAGAGCTCTACCTTGCAGTCGTGTGTCCTTCCCTAACTGAAAGATCCCCTGCCTCAAAAAGAACTCTTGTCCCTTCAGAGAGAGGCAATGGATTCCCACTCACTCAAATAAGACTCCGATGTCAGAAGGGGATATAAATGGGGTTACTTTTCTAAGCTGTAAGTGGGATTCTCTCCTCCCCTCTCTCCCATTGGGAGAATTCCATCTTCTTCTAGTGAAACATTTCCCATCAGCTTCTCCCCAAAAGTATACTGAGCTGATAGAAGAGGGTGGGCTGATTCCCCTGGTGCTCCGGGGCATAGAACTGGGCACTCTGGAGCCTGAGAGGCCTGAGGTGCAGGGTAGCCAGCACTTTGCTGGTTCATATTTGCTCCCAGAGCTACTCACCCTCAGAGTGATGTGACAACGTGAGGAGGCTGACACAGGACGCACCGATGCCTGAGCCAAAGACTGTGATACGACGGGGATCGCCACCGAAGAAGGCAATATTCTCACTCACCCAGCGGAGTGCCTGAATTTGGTCAAGGAGCCCATAGTTGCCCTTGGCAGCCTGATCTCCAGTGCTCAGGAAACCTGGATTCAACAAAGGGCATGAGGACAGTGAAGGTGGAGGGATGGAGGACCTGCAGTATGATAGAAGGGGCTGTGAGGACAGAGGATGAGCATGCAGCACAGTTCTATCCACCTAGCTAGTATAAAGCAGAGCTCCTTTCTGCAAGGTCCAGCACCATCAGTACAGGAAGGGTCGGCTCCCTGCCTCCCACCCATTCTCCAGTTTGGAAGGAGGGGTATCCAGACCATTAGAAGGGGATGCCTCCAGTTGGGAGACTTAACCTGCAGGAACTGCAAATGGCCAGGACCCAGCATCCTCTGCCCTGATGTACTATCCTGGTTATGGTTCTAGCACCTGGCACTATAGAGTGGAAAAAGCAGGGACCCTGGACTCAAATAGTCCTTGGTTCGAGTCCCGGCTCTACCACTTACTAGTCATGTAGCTTTTGGCAAATTATTTAACATCTCTGGGCTATAGCTTCCTCTTCTGTAAAATGGGGATAAAAAAATACTCTGAGTTGTTACAAGGATAAAAGGAACATAAATAAGCATCACTAATATGCTGAGCACATTGTAAATCTGTAGTTACTTCTTTTTCCCCTTCCTTCTATCTCTGAAGAAAGTGAAGATCCTAAGAGGCAACAACCCCTAAGCTCTCTTTGCCCTTCCCATACAAGTTAGTCCATCTCCATTTCTTTCCAGGGCCTCGGATGTTCCCTTCCCCTCATTCTCAGGGCAGGTCTTCATTCCCTTCCTCTAAAGACCTAATGAATCAGAAACTCTGGGGATGGGACCCATCAATCAGCATTTTTAACACACTCTCCAGGTGATTCTGATGCCTGCTAATGTTGAAAAACCACTGGGTTAGACCATCTTTTTCATCTGGTGGAGAAATTGGGGAGTCAGTGCAGTGCGTTACCACAGAAACAGGTCTTCCCGCCCACCCAGTGGAATTTGCTGCCAGGAGATATGTCACCATGGAGACTACCTTCCCACCCACCTGCTGGGATTTGCTGCTGTGGACACTTGTTACCATGGAGACTACCTTCCCACCCACCTGCTGGCTATTCCACAGAGATGTCCTATATCTCCTCATCCTCCCTCCCCACACGCTTTCATTTCAGATGGATTCTGCTGCCTCATTTCAACCCTCTTCCTGATCTCTAGGCTCCTTGGGGCTCTATCTTCTCCCACCCTAGACTTTCAGAAGGGTTCTTTCCAGGTGGAACTTGTGGAGCTCCTACATATTGGAAACCCATACCTGGATCAGCATTTTTTTAAAATGTTTTTATTGATTTTTAGAGACAGAGGAAGGGAGAGGGAGAGAGGAGAGAGAAATAGAAATATTGATGAGAGAGAAACATCATCGATCAGCTGCCTCCTGCACACCCCCTATTGAGGATCCAGCCCGCAACCTGGACATATGCCCTGACCTGGAATTGAACGAGTGACCTCTTGGTGCATGGGATTACACTCAACTACCGAGCAACACTGGCCAGGCTAGGTTAGTATTTTTTTAACCCCACCATGAAAAGCTCATTCACAGCATCTGGCATCATCTTTATGAGAGGCTGTGTTTAAGGAGGCTCCCTCAGCTCACAGAGAGCTCTCTGGCAGTCCTGAAAGTCCACGGGCAGAAGCTGAATTCAAAAGACTCAGTAAGGCACAAGAATTCCTCAGCGTCTTTCTCAAGTCCTTCTGTTTCTAGCTTCTGCAAGAGAGCTCATTTCACCCTCTTCAAGTTATTAATTTACCTTTGGTACAATTAAGTATGTAAAGTACTTAGTTAGTCCTCTCAGGACCTAATCACAAGCCCTCTTTAGCCCCAGGTTCCCGATGAGGAAATGAGAAGGAATTAGAGAAAGCCTGCACGAGGATGAATGGAGGAGCGCTTGTTCCTCTAGACAACAGGACTAGCTCCTCCTTTGCCAGGCCCATTCACAAACTGAAGCTGCTCCTGCGAGTCTTAAGAAGTATGCTGACCAAGATTCAACCCAGCTGTCCAAACCTTGAGACCCTCTGGCAAAAATCACTATGTACTTCTCTAGGCCTGCCTGTCTTCTGCCCCTCCTTTCCCCAAATCCTTTTCCCAATTTCTCTCATTTGGGCAACAGCAGATTTGGCCTTAGCCTTTGTCAAGGAAGGTATCATTCAGTGAAATGTGTCAAACACATCTGTCCTAATCATTAGGAAGAGCCTGCATTTGGATGAAGGAAAGTAGATTGCTCCAACATGTACCAGTTTCCTGGGTTAGGAGCAAAGGACTGAAAGGGCTAGGTGGAGGGTTTGTCCATCACTCTTGGCTCCCTGAGATCCCAAGAACCTTGGGATAAGAAGATCTGAAGCATGCGGATGATGCCATGCCAACCATCCTTACTACAAGAGTCCTGCTTGAAGTGCTATATCCAACAGGCTCAGGAAGATGACACAGCAAACATGACCCACCACAAGCACACAAAACCTGGCAGTCTGGGAGAGCAGTCACTCGCTGCTAGCTCCCCCGTAACTCAGCCATCCATGCAAAGCATGTGAGAATGAGGGCTAAAATACCAAACTCCACAAACTGCCAAAATAAACCTGAGCCAGTCTCCCTGGGCCCAAGTTTATGCTGCAGTGCATGGTAAGCTGCTTGTCAACAGAAGACAGGGGATTCTGGCACCAATGATATCAAAACCAGATATCCATGCCACTCAAGGCTTGATGTTTACCGGGTTTTCAGTTTGCCTGAAGGGTACCTGGGCAAGGATGTAGGATTAAATTCTGGAACCCAGAATAAAACTTGGCAAGCCTCTACTTCCTCAGTCCCAGAGATAACCACATCCTATATCCTGCTGGGGTCCCTTTCTTTTGTTGGTCTCAAGCCCAGTGAGGGCTTCTCAAATAATAACTACCATTCTGCCTTGGACTTTCTCCAAATACATGAGTCACCCAAGATGTCTAAAGAAGCACCTTAGAGTGAGCTGTCTGTTTGTGCTCAGTGCTCCAGAGAAGCAGATGGGAAGGAGGGTAAATGAATACATATACAGCAGTCCTAAAATAACTTTGTCTCCTTCAACATCTTTTCATTATAATGTTGATAAGATGCCATAGGAATTTAACTCTTGTTTGTATCAATTAGCCTAAGGTTAAAATTGGTACCTTTATACATTGTTTCACTTAACGTCACAGAATCTATTGATAATGTTAAGTGAGGACTTACTATAATTGTGGTTCAAAACTGGCCACCTGTTCTGGGATGCTTTGGGAAACAAAACAACAAAGCCTCAGCTACACTGAGGAAAATCCCCAAGTGTCATGGACAAACCCATGTTCTACAACTGGCACCAAGAAGCAAAACATCTTGTATGTACCCAGAATCCAACCAGTGGCTTTACTGATTACATTTGTGTTTCCTAGCAGGCACTGAAGAATACACAGGAAGCAGTAAAGAACTTCTGATCAAATCTTAGTTTATGACTCCTTCTGAGGTTTGGGTAATATTAGTTTGATCATTAACTGCTTAAGCCCAAAGAATAATATTTCTGCCCACAGATATGCTGTTCTGGTTAGCCAAATGACAGGAGATTGTAAAGTGGGAGGTTCTCAACCTGGGTTTCATGGATGAGCTTCAGTGGGATCCATGAAATCATTTCTACAAGTGTGAGTGTGTGTGTGTGTGTGTGTTTCCAGGCAAAGTGCATAGCTTTCATCAGAATCTCAAAGGGGTCCAAGACTCCCCAAGAGGTTAAGAACTTCTGATACAGAAGCGTAAGGATTAGAACAGCTTCGGCTAGGGTTGTGAAGTAATCAGCAAATCACAGGGAGTGCTCACCATCAACAGCCTTCTATGCAGCCCACAGCTCCCAACCGACACTGCAAATCTGTCTCTCCTGTCTCCTTTCTGCCTCCTTTCTCTTTGTCACCTTTTCCTCTTTACTGTCCCCATCCTGTTCTTTTCTCCTTTACATTCTCCCCTCTCCCCCACTCCTCTCCTCTCTCTTTCCTTCATCCCTAGCCAGTCCAAAAATATGGAACTGAAGCATATTCTTAGTATTCTCTGTGCTTTCCAATACATCTTCTAGACTGAAGCTTTGTGCTTATAATTTTTAGAAGCAGCTGAGTTGAATGTTTTCTATTACTCTCACTAAGAAAATAAAGTAGCAACATTACTTTTGGACTTAAACTGCTGGGTATGTGTGCCTATATATCTGTGTGTGATTATATTTGTATATTCATCATTTTTGAAGAACTCTGCAGCCCTAGTACATGTATTTCCAGCCACCTTCACGGTACCATTTTTATTGTCATAGACTCAAATTCCCTTTCTCAACAGGACAGAACTTCTTAGGAGAAACTTGCCAAGATGTCTGGGGAAGCTCAGACAGGAGCAGCAGCAGAACCATGAAACCCAAAGCACATCAGACTATTAACAGACTGGGGAGCTGCCCTGCAGGCTTCATACCCAGTATCCAGATACCACTGAAGGGGACACAGGCTCCACTTTTTCCAGGGAATATCACTTCTCCAGTCTGAACCCCAAAAAGGCATCTTGCCATCCCATATAGTATTAAGGCAGTACCAGAGCCTCTGGAATTAGAACTGGCAAAGCAATATACTCAAAAGCAAATTAAAATAAGCCAACTAGCTATGTAGGAAGCCATGACTAATTGCTGGTTCAGCACGCAGGCCTACAGACCTGACAAACAGCCTTGACCCCCACTGGAACTCTGAGGACACAAGCCCTCGAGGTAAGAAGTTGGCTTCTTCATGACACTCCAAGGATATGGGGCTGCATGTGCCCTCTGAGGCCTAGGTGAGCATATGAAAAGGAGCAAGGACCTTTATGCCCAGTCACCTCTTTGAGGCACTTGTTTACCTCAAGACCTTTGCCACATATAAGCATTAACAGTCACTGAGAAAGGTATGGGGTATAGTGGAAGCCCAAATCACTGAAACAAGTGTGTGGATGACACAGTGTGTGTGGAGAAGGGCATGTGGGTGTGTGGAGAAGGGCATGTGGGTGTGTATGAGGAAGGATTTGGAAAATAAATGTGTGTGTTGGAATGTGTTTGTACAATATGTGGGACCGTATGAGGATGTACCCATAGAGTAGAAGAAATGTATATGTGTGTGTATATGGGGTACATAAGTATGGGTGTGCATGAATATGGGGGTGAGTAGAGTTGTATGTGCATGAATGGGCAGATGTGGGTATAGGAATGTGTATACATTTGTGGGATAGTGTGGGGGAATATGTACACATGTATGTATTAGATGTATATATGCAAGGTATGTATGGAACATGTGTGTCCATGTGGGTATATGTGTAGGAGGTCTGTATGTATATATGTGAGGGGATGTAGATATAGATGTGCAAGCAGGGATATGAAGTGTGTATGTGTATGTGTGTGTGTGTGTGTGTATGTATGTATGTATGTATGTATGTAGTATTTGTGTATGTGTGGGGTGGGGAGGTGTGGATGTGTAGGTATGGGTGTTTTTGTGTAGGAAGGGGGAATATTGGTTTGTGTTTATATAGGGAAGGTGAGGGACATATGTGTGTATGTGGGTGTTGGATGAATGTGGAAGTGGGGTGCATGGGGGATATGAGTATGTGTGGAAGAAATATTTATGTACATTTAAGGTATATATGTGTGGGGTTTGTGTGTGGATGTGCAGGGTATGGGTCTTTGTGTAGAGCATACATATGGACATAGATATGTGTAGGGAGCAATATATGGGAGTGTGTGTGTGTGTGTGTGTGAGAGAGAGAGGGAGAGAGAGAGAGAGAGAGAGGGAAATCTGTGTAGATGTGTGATAGGGTTATGGGATATATAGAATATATGGGCATGTGGATATGTGTGTGAGACTACATGTGTGGAGTGTATATGGAGTGCTGGGGGAATGTGTGTGTATGTGAGGAAATCTATATATGTGGATGTGGGGGTCTACATGTGTATGGATATGTGAGTGTGCTTGTGGGGGGATGAGTGAGAAATCACCATATGCATGGGGGTGAATGAGGACAGTGTGCATATGTGAACATGTGAAGGTATGTGGGTGTGTGGATATGTGATTGGCTAGAAGAAATTCCTATGTATGTGCAGGGTGTTTAGAGATTGTGGGTGGGTGGGTAGTGATGAGGACAGAACACTAGAAAATTAATGGGCCCTATAAGACTCAGCCAAGCAAAAGTCTGGAAGCAAAGACCTGGCTTAAGACCTAAGAGAAGGTGTGAAGTTTGAATTGAATTTCCAGTGGGAACTAAACATCCAGGAAAGGGCCTGGGGACATAGGGAAGCTCCCAGTACTTGGGTAGGGGTAATGGGATAACAGCATTTTTACTATGGTCATTAGCACCAGCTAGGAAACCAAGGCCACCTGTTCTTGACTGCCCAGCATTCTTTCTTCCCTCCTTGAGAACCCAGGCTTCCTCCTAGACACCTAGTAGGGAACCATACCTAGCACCCCAACCCGATAGTTGAGGGTGATGACGATGACGTTGCCATAACTGGCGAGGACGCTGCCATCAATCATGTTGCCTGTCCCTTCCATGTAAGAGCCTCCATGGATGTAGACCATGACGGGCTTAGCACCACTGTCCCGGATGTCTGTAAGAAGAAGGGGTGAGACATAGGCTGGGTAGGATGCCCTTCCTTCCCCACCCCCACCAGCCCGGGGGGGGGGGGGTGCAGGTAGCAAAGCTATCCCAGGTGCCAGGACACCACCGCCATCTCTGAGGGTAGGACTCATGGGGCTGCTCAGCCTAGAGCTCAAGCATCAGCCAGAGATACTTGGACTTCAGTGGTGTTGGTGTTTTTAAAGACTCTGGTTTCAAGTGCTTCCCAGCAGCCTGGCCTGATACAGCTAGGCCTAGGTAGGCCTGGAGGCGGCGGGGCGGGGGGGTCAGGCAGAAGAAAGAGGAAGGGCTGGTTCCTTGGCTGCATCAAGTGAGTCCTTCCCTGGGCACCCAGAAGTCCTGGGACCTGATATGGCTTTAGAGAGCAGGGGCTGGGGAGCCCTGGAACCCCCAAGACTAGACCAGTTCCATAGAAATACAGCCATTGGCAGAAGCTGGCCCCCCAGTGCAGACAGAGACAAGAGGGGTGGGAAGGGGTAGCACAGGGAGAGAACAAGGAAGAATATGGGGAAAGGGGAGTGAATGGCAGAGATGGGATAGGGGACCCTTAGTGACATGGTTTCTCATTTACCCCATTCTCCCAGGACATCAGGCAGATTTATCTGGAGCCATTGGGGATGTGGAAGAGGAAAGGACAGAACTAAGACTGAGAGATCTGGCCCCCGTCAGCATTAGAATGAAGATGGAGCCTCCCAGAGGCCATACAATGAGGGACCTTAAAGTGGCTGTTCCCCAGTCTCAGCAGACAGGGGCAGGGATGGGATGGGCATTCAGGAGGAGCCTCCTGGCCTGATCACCTCTACCTGCAGCCTCTCAACACTCAACCACACCAGCACAACCCTAGTAGCCACCAACGGACCCCCTGAACTGTCTGGCCCCTCCGGGGGTGAGGGGGCAGGGTCACAGAGGTAGAAGGGAAAGCTCTCTGCTGCTGAGCAAACGTACCCTGTTTTCCCAAGGAGGAAGGAGGACTGGTTCAGCCATCACTCAAGGATCTTACGCCATCCACTAACTGAGCTGTGGTGTCCCGGCCTCAGCCCGGAGCTTTAGCCTCCAGTCCTTCTGCTAAGAGAAGGCTGGGGAGGTTTTAGCTGGGGCTATTCTCCAGCCCCTTTGGTTGTCACTGCCTCACTCCTCTGTTCAACATCCTGCTGGGCCCCTCTCCCAGGAGCCAGTCTCCCCACAACACAGGCATCTCCTCACCCTCCCTCAGCCCTGCTTTCTCTCCACTCTCCCTGCTGCTCAGTAGGGGCAGGTGCCCATGAATCACAGAAGATGAGGAGGAAGCTGTCTCCAGCTTACTACTATAGGACTGAGAATGGGTGGGAAACCGGGGTGAGGAGGATGCCCTCCCCATGGCTCTGCTTGTCGTCTCCTGCTCCCACCAGCATGTCCATCACCCTGGAACTCCCAATGGCCAACCAGGCCAAAGATGAATGAACAGCCCAATGGCCTTGTACAGAAACAGAAACACACCAACGGACGGACAGACAGACAGACGGGGCTTCTCCCCATTGAGAGGGGGAGGGGCTCTGTGCCATGCACCAGCCGCCACGCCCTGCAGCCCCCAAATACCTTCATCTTCATCCCCGTCATTATCCGCTAAGTCCTCGCCCTGTTTCTTAGCGCCGGATCCTGGGGACCAGACACGGGGAGACACAACAGCACAGAACAGAGAACAAAACAGAGAGAGAATTCAAAAACAGCATGACTGCAGTGTGGCCCAGTAAGCCAGCTCTGGGCCTGGGCCCAGGACAGGCAGGACGGATGGCAAGAACTGAGGGAATGGGTGGGCTGAGGCCCAGACTTTCATCAGGAAGATGGTGTTGCAGGCCCCTGTTGTGCTGGCCTCCCTGCACTTCCCTGCCCCGCCTCCCTGTCCCAACAGCCCATCTCAACCAACTACCTTCCAGTTAGGAAGGAGGTAGCAGCAGGTGGGCCAGGGCACAGAGCCAGAGAGCCACTCAGGGAAGGGATTTCTTCCATCTGGAAGGGGCTGTGAGTGTACACACAGGCAGGCTGAGCTGGAGAGCAGGGCAGGCACTAAGTGTGAGAGGCAGCATTGCCAGCATGTGTGGATGTGGATGTGAGCTATTAGGGCAGAGAAAGGTACCAGGGACCCCAGCCCTGGGCTCCTTGGGACCAGTGAGCAAGCGTAAGCTGAGCCTCAGCTCACCCTGATTCCCACAGGAGAAAATGGGACATGAAGCTGTCCCTCTGGTCTTCCTTGTTGGGACCTCCTGCTCTGGATAATGGCAAATGAGGTTCCTGCCCATAGGAACCAGGCCTGAGAACAGCAAGCTTTGCTCTGAGATCTAGAGAGAGCCTGAGGAGGGAGGGAAGGAAAGAAACTGGGAGAAATAGGGGTAGGGTGGGGGGAGGAGGAGAGGAAGGGAGAGAGAAGCAGAGGGAGAGAAACACAGAAATAGAAACAGAGAGAAGCAGAGAGAGAAACAGAGGGAGGGAGGGATAGAGAGAAACACAGAGAGAGAGAAACTGAGAAACAGAGAAGCAGAGAGAGAAACAGAGGAAGGGAGGGAGAGAGGGAAACAGAGATAGGAATAATGGTAATCACTCCTACTGTGTACTATGTACTGAATATTTATCATGTCAGAGACTCCACTTCTGTTATATAGTTTCATCCTTACACCCCAATGAGGTGGGTACTATCTTTATTCTTGTTTTACTGATGGGGAAACTGAGGTTCAGAGGGGTAAAGTGACTTGCTCAAGATGATACAGCTAGAAAGTGCTAGAGATGAGATTCAATCCCAGGTCTACTTGACTCTGGAACCCATGGTCTTTCCACTGCACCATGCCATCTTTTTGGGATAGGGGAAAAGGAGGGGAAAATAAATGAGAAAAGAGGTGGAACATGGAGGGGAAAGGAGGGATGGGAAGGAGAGAAAAGAGACCAGAGGAGAGAAGAGAGACATTTAAGACCTGGGGGTAAGCTGGCACCAACTCTTCTTCCTGTTCTAAGGAGACGAGAAGTGCACCTTGAGAATGGCTGTGGAGAAAGGAGACCTCCTGCCTGGATGCTGGGCAGCATGTGGAAACAGAGGTCATTCTGTTGGCACCCAGCGCTTACCCTCTTCTCTAGGACACCAGATACTCTCAGCCTGGAGGCAGCAAATAGCCTTCTTTCTCAGCTGGCCTGGTCTCTGGTGCTGAATTCCCTTACAGCTATTAATCAAAACAGAAACCACTCTCATAATACAAAATGGATTTTCAACTAGGGCAGGAGCCCAGCCCAAGGGATAGAAACCTCCTCCAGCTTCCCAAACTTCCAGTAGTGTCTACTGTCTTAACACCTAACATTACTGCCCTCAGAGATCCTGTGGGGATTGGGGCTTCATTATCCACATAGTGGACAGAAAGGAATCACTCATCCCTAAACATGAATTCCTTCCAACTTGAACGGGGTTTGGGGTGAGGATGGGGCAGGTCTTCCCAGGAAATCCTTTACTTCCCATGGGCCCTGGCTTAGAAGATGCATCCCTCCCTGACCGCTGGGAGTGTTCCTGGGTTGCTGCACTGTCTCAGCTTCCTCGATCTGCCTTTGCTTCTTCAGCTTTTCACTTTGTGAGCTACTCCTTGCTGCCATGCCTGTCACCCTGGCCAGCTTGACCACCATCCCCCATCCTGACAGAGTACTGCTACAGGATCCCAGCCAGGCCAGCCCTGCCTACCCTAAGCACACAACCCTAACCACCTCTGTGGATGAGTCTCCTCCAAATGGGCCCTGAATAGGGAACTACTTTGAACAGTTAAATGACCAAATGACCTCCCCTCCAACTGTCTGAAAATCCACCTCCCAGATTGGCCTGTGGGCCCTGGCTAAACTGGCTGGGACTAAATACTAGGCTAGGAGCTTCTTCAGAGTGGCAATCAGACCTTTAGTTATTTCTAAATCTTTCCTCTGCCTCATTTATCTCTCTGCACATCCCAACAACACCTAGCACTTGGCCTTGTCCACTGTCAACTATCATGATCAGTATATGTATCTGAGTGGAACTAAAAGCCAGCTCTCTAGCCAAACTCTCAGGACTGGACTGTCTTAGGCCCTTACTGGTGCTCTGGGGAGGTCATTCCTTCTAGGAAATGGTTAATTTTAAGATCATTTCCTCTCCCTCCCACCCAAGTAAGTAACTCAAAAGAGTAAGTTTAAGAGATCCTCTTTGTCTGGCTGGAGTGGCTCAGTGATTGAGCATTGACCTATGAACCAGGAGGTCACAGTTCGATTCCCAGTCAGGGCACATGCCCAGGTTGCGGGTTCAATCCCCAGTGTGGGGCGTGCAGGAGGCAGCCAATCAATGATTCTCTCTCACCATTGATGTTTCTATCTCTCTCTACCTCTCCCTCTCTGAAATCAATAATATATATTAATATGTATATTAATATATATTAAAGAGACCCTCTTCCTGAGTTCATTGATAGGCTAATGGAATGTTAAGGACAATACCAGTCCTCTACCACCTTCACATGTGCAAACAGAGGTTCTTAAAGGAAAATATTTGCCTAAGGTCTCACTGTGAGTTAGCAGCAGAGCTGGGACTGGTCAGGCTTTGTGGCTCTGAGACCTGTACTCTTGCTGCAGCACCACAATGCTTCTTCATTTATGAAAAAAAAAAGTGTTTACTGGTAGCCTACTGCTTGTAGGGTCCTGGGCTGGGAGTAGAGATATGGTGGAAAACTCCCCTGGAGCAGCAGGCCTCACTCACTGCTCAGTGTGTATCAAAAGCACTCAGCACGCATGCCCATTGTGGAGATCCTGGGCTCTGCTCCCTGAGGTTCTCACTCAGCAGGGAGCACCCAGTCCCAGGAATCCTGAAGACCCCACCTGGGGGAACCCTGCTCCAGGATTTCAAAGGAAAACAAACTCCAAGTTTGCCAAAGGGTTTTAGGAATTAGGCTGATTTTCCACCAATTCTTAGGCTATTACTGTTTCTAGTTTGGCCCAACCTGTCCACACTTTACCAGTTTTCAGAATTGGGGAGGCAGGAATGACTAGACGGGAGTTGAGTTGGTTCACGTGCTACAGCGGAAAGAACACTGTCCTGAGGGTCAAGGGACCCAGGTTTTGTTCCCAGCTCTGCCACAGACCAGTGACAGGGGATGAGCAGCAGCAAGTCACTCCCCTGGGCCTGTTTCCTCATCCATAAAATCAGGATACCAATTCCCGCCTTAGAAGCTTCCAGAGATGTAGGGAGGATTTTATGAGATAAGTATGAAAATTCTTTACAGAAAACATAAAGTGCTACTTGAACATGAAGAATTGTTACACAGGGGGAACAAATTCCTCCCAGCAAGAGGGTCAATTTAAAATGCAGGGTCTTGTACCTCCTTTAGAGTCCATAGTTCCAGGAGGAAATCCCGCCCCCCCAAGTCTGCCACAAAACCAGCCCAGGTCACTCAGCTGCTCTGGCCAAAGGTGGGGAGTTGGGTGGCAGGATTCCTAAGCCTGTGCATGAGTTTGGTCTCAGCTTCAGGGCTGGAGAGTTAAGTCTAGACCAGTGATGGCGAACCTATGACACTGATTTTTTTGGTTGATTTTTCTTTGTTAAATGGCATTTAAATATATATAATAAATATCAAAAATACAGTGGGGCCTTGACTTACGAGTTTAATTCGTTCCGTGACGGAGCTCGTAACTCAAATTACTCGTATGTCAAATCAATTTTCACCATTACAATGAATTGAAATGCTGGGCTGATGTGGCGTTCACTGTGACGTTCACTGCGCCAACTAGCGGTGGGGTATCTGAAGCTGGCTCGTTACCCAAATTTTAGCGCGCAACTCAAAGCAAAAAATCGGCCAAGAGATGGCCAATCTCAAAAAACTCGTTAGTCGGGACACTCGTAAGTCAAGGCCCCACTGTATAAGTCTTTGTTTTACTATGGTTGCAAATATCAAAAAATTTCTATATGTGACACGGCACTGAGGAACTGTATTTAAAGGGCCAGAAGGTTGAGAACCACTGTCTAAGGCAGTGATGGCGAACCTATGACACGCTTGTCAGAGGTGACACGCGAACTCATTTTTTTTGGTTGATTTTTCTTTGTTAAATGGCATTTAAATATATAAAATAAATATCAAAAATATAAGTCTTTGTTTTACTATGGTTGCAAATATCAAAAAATTTCTATATGTGACACGGCACCAGAGTTAAGTTAGGGTTTTTCAAAATGCTGACAGGCCGAGCTCAAAAGGTTCGCCATCACTGGTCTAGACTATCAACCCAGGAACGAACTTGGAGGGGTGAGCCCGTGGCTCCCTAACCAGGAAAAGGCCTCTGGTTCCACCTTGACTGCCTTGAGTTCTCCTGAGGTGGCCAGAGAGAAGCACTGGCTCTGTCTTAAGAGTGGAACTGAGGTCTGAGAAGATCAGAAGAAACGTGGTTGCTGCTTTTGCTCTGAATCTGCCTTAGGCCACCAAATCCTCCCTGAAAAGGTGGCCAGGGCCCTTGGATGAGGTGGAGCTATGTCTGCTCACCACCTGCCCCCTGAGCCTGGGCCACTTGAAGGAAGGCAGGGTCCTCAGGGGCAAGTGCAGGTGGGCAGGCAGCCCTCCCTCTCTCTTTCTCTCTCTCCCTCCCCGCCGGCTCGCTACCTACCTCCTTTCCTACAAATTTTCTTGTTGGGCTTTCGGGCGCATTCCTTGGAAATCCGCTTTACTGTAAAATGAATAAAAAACTAAAAAATAACAGGAGGCCTCTGCCAAGGGGCATGCACCCTCCACCCCCAGACCCCAAGAGCTGCTCTCAGGTGGCATATGGCAGAGAGCCTCTCCCACCACCTCCTTGTTTCTGTCACTTACCTTAGTGTGACCCCCGCGGGAGGAGGCACCAGCTAGTGAAAGAGGAGGCACCTAAGTAGTGCCCACCAGGCTTGCCCCCATCCCCCCACACACCTAGCTCCTTTGGCTACACACAACTTCCACCTTCCAAAGCAGGTGGAATGGCAACAGGAGGCCTGGTGGGGCCAGCATCCTCCCGCGGGCAGCTGCTGGCAATGACCCATACTCCCCCAGGGAACCCCCATCCAGCACTCTGACCCTAGACTTGTCAAAGCTCTCAGGCCTGGCCAGGCCCCTCCTGGTAACAGTGTCACTCACACAGGGGAGCTCAGACAATGCTGGGAGAGCAAAGAACAGGGAGGAGGAAGGGGGACGCCAAGCAGAGTGATGGTTAGACAGACAGAGGCATGCTGCAGGGCACACAACCACATGCAAGCCACAAACACAACAGGGCAGGAGAAGGCAGGGAGGGCACAGTGCCTGGCCACAGCACTCACCATCCTCCGTGGGCACATAGACATTCAGGTAGAGGCAGTCTTCATTGGGCTCTTGGATGTAAGTGGCGACGATATCCAAGTTGGCAGTGAACCAGACAGGCAGCATGACTTCGGGCACAGCTGTGTGGATGTTCTGGGGGCACACTGGGGGAAAGTGTGTGGCGTTCCGGATGCCCGACCAGGATGGGGGTGGTTCAGGGGGCAGGAAGCGTTTCTCGCCGATCGGAGGAGCTGCGTAGGGCACCCCCAGGTATTGGTCCACAGGCCCCAGGATCTCACTGGGCAATGGTACCCGGGCACCCCTTAGCTTTCCAAAGTGAGTATTGACTGTGGGCGCTGGGGCCTGTGTACTGGCCCTCAGCACCAAGCCGAGGAACCACAGGGTGAGGCACAGGCTCCGGCCAACTGTGGGCTTGGGGCTCAGGGGCAGCCAGGGCAGGCCAAGCCACAGCCACATGTTCTGGGCAGGGGGACTGGCAGGAAAGGCAGATTCCAGGGTCACAGCATCAGCCCAATAGGCAGCCCCTTCATGGCCACACTGACTGGAACCTCAAAACTGAGCTCTTGAGGGACACCTACAGGTGCTGGCCACGTAGAGAGCAGGTCATCCAAGCACCACAGCTTCAGAAAGAAGACTCCCTCAGGGCCAGACAGGCCTGTGGAAAGAGGGAAGTATTCGTCATCCAAGACAGTGGGGAGGGTTATGGAGTGGGTTTTGGGGGCCCTGCTGGGCTTGGGCTATTCTCCTCGTTAGGAGAGGTTTCACGTGCCCAAAAGTCGAGAGACCCATGGATGATCTCCACTGCCAATCTGAACCATTCTATGTGCCCGGCCATGGTTGGAAAACCCAAGGGGATTGACAGAATGACAGTGGTTGCCACTACAAATTACCAATCCCCAACTTGAACTCCTCAGCCAATGGAGCTCCCGAGGGCCAGCTGGAGCCAGAGTAGCATGTGGTAGAAGAGGTGAGAACTGGAAATAGAGCTAGGTCCCTGGGCATGCTGCAGGAACACTGCGCTCTCTAGCCCCAGGACTGGAAAGCCCACACAAGGACCTCTGCCTCAGGGGACAGGATTGTGAACCTCACTCTGAGACTCTATGGCATAAGAAGGGAAAGCAGCAGACAGTCAAAGGGTCCCACAGAGATACCCTTCATGCTCAGGCGGGGCAGGGGCAGGGGCAGGGACAGGGGCAGGAGCAAGGATAGGGGCAGGACAGCCATTTCCCAAAGTCCCCAGAACCACCTGTGCCCTTCTGTACATTTCTCCTCAGCCCTAACTGCTCCCAAATCCTTAAGCCTTGGTCATCTCTGTCAGCTAGCTCTGAGTCACATGGAATGCCAGAACTGAGGCAGAAACTCTTCTGCCTAGCACCCTAGGCATTGTTGATGCTCAGCCAGTGGAAAATAAACAGTGGAGTGTGGGGAACACACTCTCAGAGACTCACACTTTGAGACTCACAAAGTCTCAAAGAGGAAGTAAGAGATACCAAGCCAGATAATAAATACTACAATGTTCACTCACAGAGACATACATTCCAAGCCCACAGAGATCCCCTCATATAGTGTCACATTCTGAGACAGAGAGTGTCACCCAGCCAGAGACTTACTAAAATATAGTCACACACACTACTCAGGTAAATATCCAGACACATGCAGCATGATGGTAACACATAGGTGGAGACAGAAACAGGAATAGCAACACAATTGACACAGGCCTTCTGACACACAGGTACAGTCAACACATATCCACAGGTACACACAGACACTCGTGCATGGACACACACACACACACACACACACACAATATTTCCTTTCCCCCCCCATTTCTCCCAATTTTCAAGATTGCAGGCCTTCTCCTTTAAGACTTTAAGAACTGCCTGAAGGGGTGGGGGAGGGAGATTGGGAACGCCCGGCAATTCGCCACCTCAGAGAGGGGAATGAGATGAGAGAGAGGGAGGGAGGGAGAGAGAGAGAGAGAGAGAGAGAGAGAGAGAGAGAGAGAGAGCAGAAGGAGGGTGAAGGGAGGGCGGGCAAAGAGACTAAAGGGGTGGGGGCTCAGATGAAATGGGGAGCAAAATATGGGGGGTTAGATTCCAGCCACTGCCCCACTGCCCACAATGGCCCAGGGTTGGGGGAGGAGGGGCAGGAGAAAGAAGGGGTAGGAGTAGGGAGGTGGAGCAGGAGCGAGTGTGTGTGTGTGTGTGTGTGTGTGTGTGTGTGTGTGTGTGTGTGTATGGGGGGAATAGTCCGCAGCTGAGTTCACACAATCCCCCCATTCACTGTCTCCATGGCAACTCTGGGGCACAGACCGCTCATTCACACGGCTTCCCCACCAGCACCCACCCCCACGATTAACCCTCTCGGTGCCGCCCCTCCCCACAAATTCCATTAACCCTTTTGGGATGCTTCCCTCTCCAGTATCCCTTTGGTACCAAATGCCGGTCCCCTTTGAGTCAATTCCCTGCAGTCCCTCCCCCGTGAACACCTAGACAAATCGACCCCCAAACGCCCTCTGTACCCTAAGACCCACTGTAAGTCCCCAAGGCCAAGATCTTCATCCTGGCCCAACTTCCAATTTGGGAGAAGACAAGGAGAGGTGGCAATGCCAGGGATTAGAATGGCATCTGGGGGTACTTTTTACGCTGGAGCAGTATTGGGTGAGGGGCATTGTACAGGAATGCACTGGTATTGTAAACCACAGGATTGGGGGCTATGAGGGCTCGGAACGGAATTGAGGGATGGAGCTTCATTGGAATGGGGAGGATAGGATAAAGGCCTCTGTTAGGAGGGGGGCTGCAGAGTGGGGGAGGGAGCCTGGCTGTGAGATGCTACCATAGAAGAGGGATGGGGTTGCACCGTGGGGGTGGGGGGACTGGCAATGTGCATAACAGGAATGGGATTGGGGGCCCTCAGTAGGGGTATTTTGATGAGCATTCGAGCCGGGCTGTGGAAATAGAGGGACCATGGGCAGGACGATGACAGGGATATGTGGGCTTCAGGGAGGAGGTGAAGGAGAGGAGTGGGGGAGGATTGGGGGGTCAGGGGTGCCGATGATGGAGAACATGGGGTTGAGGATGGGGAGCACTGGCTGGGGAGTGGAGGAGCCCGATTGGGAGGGGATAGGATGGGGCAAGGTATGGACGGCTAAAGAATGAGAGACCTCGGCCTCACCTGTTCCCCTGGCTGTTGCAAGCGACTGAACCGGGCCTCGGACCACCCATATCGCTTCCAGGCCAAGGGCTCCGCACCCGAATCCCCGAGATCTGCTCTCTGGCTGCTTGGCTGCTGTGCCCGCGCACCGAGGGGGCGCGCTGCGCGTGCCCGGACACGGGGGGCGCGGTCCCTGCCATTAACTCCTTTTGTGCCAGAGATGGCTCAAGTCCTGGGGCATGGCCCAATTCCTCCCATGATCTGGCACACACTGCTCATGAAATCCCTCTTCCTCACACACACACCCCCTTCAAGTCACAAACAGGTAATCTTCCAGGGCAGCTAGTCCAAACTTTACCTGCAAAGCTTGAGAACTTGAAACAAAGGGAGAAACTGAGGCACTGCTTGCAGGAGACCCCAGTCATACTCCACAGACAGACCTCCACCTCAGCAGCCCTCACCTCTCAGCACCAGCACTATTCAAGTAGCACCAGTGGGGGGCACTTTGCCCTCATCCTGTCACTCTCTCAAAGGTCAATGATGTTCCTTTTTGCTGCTTGTGCGGGGCCATGTCAGCCTCAGACTGTCAGGGTCTCTCCTCTCTAGATCCGGCTGTCTTTGTGTTCCTGTATGTAGTGCACCTGTCCAGTTTATTTAATCCCCGTACCAGAAGCCCCTCTGAGTGTCTCTTATCCCAGCCAAATCTCTACTCCTGTATCTCTTTAGAACAGCAGTTGCCAACATTTAGGACCTCACGGACCACCAGAGGTCCGGGGACCATCGGTTGGCGACTGCTGCTTTAGAATGTTCAGCAGAAGCTTCAGTCATGTTTGTTTTTGCCCTATCAGGGAGTTCCATTCCTTGAGCACATAACTCTTAAACTTAAGTGCCATACTTTGTGGACCTCAAAGAGGGAGTTTATTTTTTATATTTTATAACTTGGGTATGGATTGGTGCTCCTAGTTTTACCAGCACACTTGACACTTCCCAGTGATATAGTGCAAATATGTCCTGGATGTTATCCTGAAGTTGTCATATCATCCTGTACTGCCCACCCACAGAGAAGGGGCTGGTCCTCTTCTAGCCCCAGCTGGGCACACCAGGGGACTCCATTGTAGTAAACCAGTTGACTCCCCCAGATAGCATTTGATCTAGGGCCCTAAAACTGAAGGCAAGGGGCCTGGCCCCTATGGCTCAGTGGTTGAGCATCGATCTATGAACCAGGAGGTCCTGGTTCAATTCCTGGCCAGGGCACATGCCTGGGTTGTGGGCTCAATCCCCAGTGGGAGGCGTGTAGGAAGCAGCTGATCAATGAATGACTCTCTCTCATCATTGATGTTTCTATCCCTCTTTCCTTCTCCCTACCTCTCTGAAATCAATAAAAATATATTTTAAAAAACAAAAACAAACCTGAAGGCAAGGGATCTGAGAATAGCCCTGCACAGTATCAATTGTGACTCTGCAGCAGATTTTGTTATCTCTACTTTAAAATGGGAGTGAACAACAGTTACCCTGGGTAACTGCCAAGGTGAGTAGTGTAAAAGCAAGCAGTTCCAGCAACAGAGCAGAGAAAGAAAAGGGTGCTTCCTTTTACTGGTGTCTCTTCCTCCTGGAACCACGCCAGACTTCCACCACCTATTCAATGGTGACACTTGCTAATGCAGGGCAATTTTTCATCCCCGAAATGTGAATCTCAGGGAAGGTTTCTGTCTAGGATACCGCTTGACACATGATGGAGACCACAAAAGGTGGCAAAAAGGGTAGGCAGTGTCTGTCACCCCCTCCACTCTGAAGCTTGTTCAAAACCCAGCATGTGGATGAGTGGAAGCAGAATCAGGTTCCATTGATTTTTTCCCCTCTGGCCTGATGGCCCCTCCTCAATCCCAGTGGTATATCCACCATGACGGAAAGTTATCCAGAAGCTGTATCATCTAGCTGAGAACATAAGCTGCCCTTCTTAAGAGACTAAGGGCCCAAACCTTAATATGTTGCCAGGTTGGAGAAGTGAAGAGAGGGTAGCAATCCAATTCAACTGAGAAATTTAGGGGATGGAAGGTAAACAGGGGAGATGATCTGAACAGAATGAAGGCTCTAACTTGTCCGTCCAGCCTCCAGTACTCTCCCAAGGGCCCGCCCTTCCCAGATATGCAGAACTCACACGTGCCCTTTGCAAAGAAGCTCTGTGTATTAGGTGCAACAGCTCTGGGGTCTCAATATAAATAATATACAAAACCCAACAGCTCAATGCCTCACATTAACAAAAATACTAAAAACTCATTAAAAATGGAGCCTGAGGGAAGAGCCCCAACCATTACTGGTGCTAGCCCAGGAAGGGGATTGAGAATTCAGAGAAAAGGGTGGGGCCACATCCAGTCACAAGCAGCTCCTCCAGATGGCTCAGTAGCGTCCAAATATGTTGGTACTGGGCTGTGGCTGGGTATCTGTGAAAAACCAGAGAGGATCAGGGGTGGGATGCCAAGCAGGGCTGTAGATATGCATGGGAAGAGCTACTCAGGTGCTAAGGGAAGGGATGGAATATAATGCTTGCCCCCACAATATGGGCTAGAAGCAACAGCCTCAGCTACTTGCCCCTCCCCGCCCCCAATTTTTTTCATGGGACTCTCCTGGGAAGGAAGGAAGGCTTACTGGAGAGCTGTTGTTGGAGCTGCCGGACCAAAGCTGCTGTCTGTTGCTGTTGCTGGGTCTGCTGAAGCCCCTGGCGTTGGAACTGAGGTAGAAATTGGAAGTGGAACACTGAACTCAAACCCTCTACTCAGAATCTTCCACATCCTTCTCTATCCCCATCTCCCCATCTCTTTTTAGTGTGCCATGCCTTGCCTCCTACTTCTACCACATGGCACACTGTCCCCAACCTAGTTCACTGGCTGCATGCCCAACCTGGGCAGCTGTCCCTGAGCCTGGGGCTGGAGTCCAGCAGCTACCTGGGGCTGGGACTGGGGCTGGGGCTGGGGAGGAGCCGCTGCCTGTTGTTGCTGCTGCTGCTGCTGCTGCTGCTGTTGCTGCTGCTGGTGTGCTTGTTGTTGTTGTTGTTGCTGCTGCTGCTGTTGCTGCTGCTGTTGCTGCTGTTGCTATGAGAACATAAGAGATATTGCTAAGGAGAGGAAGAAGCTGAGCCCAGGCATGGAGGGATGGGAACAGGGGAAGAAGCAGCAGGGAGGAAACTGGGTTCAGTGCCCTCCTTCCTCAGAGAGCTGCAGAGAGAGATACCCAATCTAGAGTCCCCAGCAGACAACCCCCAACTCTCTCCCAATAGGACCCCCACAAAACCAAAGTGGGTATAAGGGGAAACTAACTCTCTAAGATCCTACTGCATGCCAGATACTCTGCCAGGCGCTTTCTATGTACTGCCTCAGTCACTACAGATAACAATGAGGAGGAGCCTGGGCCTTTCCTCCTCCTCGGGTTCCCAGGTCCCCTGTGAACTCCCTGGGCCTTACCCGTAGGATTTGCTGCTGCTGCTGCTGCTGCCGGATGTGGTACTGTTGCTGCTGCTGTTGCTGTTGCTGCTGCTGCTGTTGCTGCTGCTGCTGCTGCGGTGGCTGCTGCTGCTGTTGTTCAGGCAGGATGGCAGCTGATCGGACGGCAGCCTGGACACCCTGAGTGCTCAGTGGTGTCAGGGTACCTATCATGGGTGTTTGCTGCAGTGTCTGGTGTGAAAACCTACAAAGAGAGATCCAGAGATCAAGGCATGGGGCGGGGAGAGAGGTGAAAGAGAAGCCCCAGGTCCTGACTCTAAAGACACTTCAGTCGTTTCATTCATTCCTCCTGTCACTAATCAGAAGAGCCCTTTGGGTCCTGGCAGCTTTCTAAGTAGGGGAGTAAGGAGTAAAGACAATGCCCCATCTCAGTGTCTCATAACCTTCATGGCTAGAAATTTTTCAATTCTGTCTTAGCTATTTTTCTCTTATAAAAATGGAAAAAAAGTCTTAGCATAGGACAGGCATTTTGTTAACACTTTGTGAGGTTTTTGTTGTCGGTGGCAATCCCCAATAACATTTCAGGGGCTTAAAGACAATTGAGTCCCACTGCTCCTTCCACTTTCCTTACCCCAATCTGTACATCACTGTACCAGGCTACTGACCAGGTCCCCTGTCTCAAGTCTTCTCGCACCTTCTCTATGCATCCTATCCATGCATCCCATAATAATCTCTAGACATGTCCAACTCGTCATGTCACTTTCCAGATCCAAAGAGCTCTTTCTGGAATTGTGTCTCAGTTCTTCACTAAGCAGTAAAGGCCCTCTTCAACCTGCCCACTCCTAGCCTATCCCTTACTTCCCCGACACCAATTTTACCTCCATCCAAGTTCTTCTCCTACCTCTCCTCCCAGCCACTCCCCTCATTTGGCTCCCATGTCTTTGTTCATGATATGCCCTCTATCTGGAATCCCCTTCCTTCTCCTCCTCTCCACAAATACGAATCATAGCCATCCTTCAACACAAGTCCAACCTCCTTCGTGACACTTCCTCTGACGACTCAGGCCCACGATGACAGCACCATGCACCTTTTCTGGATTCCCATTTTACTTCACAGCACTTAATGGCACATCTGGCTGATTTTCCTCAGTGTTCTCTAAATGTTCCTCTGGGTAAGTCTCATCTCCTCAACTAGAGTAACAATTCTTTGTGGTGAGGGACTTCATAGTTTTTTAAAAATATCTTTCCTCGCCCCAACCGGTCTTAGCACAGTGCTGGCCACACAGTGAGCAGTTACTACTTCTCAGTAAAAGGACTTCTGCTGGTCTACCCTTCAGTGTTCTAAACCCTAAGCTACAGACCCTCAGGACACAATTACGATGTCTTAACTTAGGCCTGACTAATGTTCAGAATAGTGAGAGGATATGTTCATTAGTCCATTCCAGAGTTAAGACTGTTCTAACACTGGCTTTATGCCAACTTATCATGCAGTGCATCGATGAATCCTAGACTTGCCCTTACTGTAGTCATATAAATCATTTCCCTTCTCTCGGCCTCAAAGAAATATAGAGGAAGCAGGTGTGGGACTACTGGTTGCCAGGGTCCCTTCCAGCTCTGGCATTTTGTAGCAATAGGCTATGTGGCCAGATAAGTGTTCTTGCCACCTCCAGAAGGTCTGATTAGTCCCATCACCCCAGGCATGTTTTTCCAAGTCAAATGTGCCTCTGT